ATAAAGATAAAGATAAAGATAAAGATAAAGATGTATAATTGCCTCGCCGAGCCTTCTGTTCCATTCTGATAATTTTTCGATAAATGCATGGTTCAAATTGATCATTTGTTGTCTGTAGCGATCGGTATTAAAAGCTTCATCAGGTTTTAAAAGCTCATGATATACTGCACCCTTCAGATCCCACCAAACATAGAACATTGCCTCCTTACCCAATGAATCTGTTTTTGCAAGCATTATTGATGGTTGTCTCGGATTRAACCATGAATTTCTCCATTTAGAACACTTCAAACATATCCATTTTTCATCGCTAGTGACAATTCAATTAAAAACTTATTTACTTTCGTGTTTTTGAAGCAAAATTTCACAGGTGTTTTTTGGTTTTCCATTTTTTTTCATTCAATTCATGTGCCACCCATTTAACATTGGATCCATCTCAAAGCTTTAAAACGATCTGTTGTTTTGCATCATTTAACATGGCTGTCACTTGCTTTTGACTCAAATTATCATTTTCATCCWATATTGCTTACAGTTCGGCTTCTTGAAACATTTTATACCCTGAACAGGGTATATTAGCCATGTCCGCCTGTCTGTCCGTCTTTCTGTCTGTATATATACGAACTAGTCCCTCAGTTTTTAAGATATCGTTTAAAAATTTTGCAAACGTCATTTTCTCTTCAAGGAGCTGCTCATTTGTCGGAACTGCCGCTATCGGACCACTATAACATGTAGCTGCCATACAAACTAAACGATCGGAATAAAGTTCTTGTATGGAAAACTTTCACATTTGACAACATATGTTCACAAAATTTGGTATAAATTATTTTCTAAGGCAACAATGTAGTCTACGAAGAAATTGTTCAGATCGGATTACTATTGCATATAGCTTCCATACAAGCTGAACACATAGTTGCTAACAGAAATGCACCTGTGAAGGGTATATTAGGTTCGTTGCAACCGAAGTTAACGTTTTTTCTTGTTTTACTTCATTTCTCAGTTAAAAATCATTATCTCTCAATCATTGAAACCATCTTTTGCATGTTGCTCCCGATAGATCATATGCCTCGCCAGGTGTTCGATGMGACTCTCTCTTTAAAATCATCTCTACATTTTTATGTGAAACATTGTGATTATTTTGAATGTGCAATACGTTTTTTCAATCATCTGTGATTGGCAAAGTTATAACATTCATTTCAACGCAAAAGGGTTTGAGTGTGAAAATGCTGCGAAATTATACTCATAATGCCTCAATAATAGTTCCTGAAACCGTCAAATAAATATTTACTTAAAGTATTGTATAACTTRTATCTACAGCTCACGAACCCGGAACTTACTCACTTAACTATTTGTTGTGGTTATTTTCGTTTATTTATTCTACTTTTTTTTTGTTGTTCTACACAACCGCAAACACCTTATACACCTTCATACATATTTAATTAAATTTCCGGCATACCTATGTAAATGCATATATTTGTGTGTGTGTGTGTGTGTGTATGGCACTTGGTGTGCCCTGTCAACTGCAGCGGCCGCAGAAAAATGTTACTCATACGCCACGTACGCGCATACACTTCACCTGCTATACGCCGTCGTACATACGCAGCACTTGAAGATAATTTGCGCTGCTGTTGGTTTTCAAATCCAACTTGGCTGGCTTGCTTGCTGCTGTGCCCGTCGAGTGTAAGTAAATCGCGGCATAGCTAATGGCATTTGCCAACAGCGCTACCACACATGCAAACACCAACAAACACATGAGCAACAACAAATGCCACGCGCTATATCTCTAGTTGTTGTCATTTCGCGTGTGTGTCAGTATGAGTGTATGTGTGTGTGTAAATATTGCTGCCACTTGCAGACGCAGCCACTCAAGGACGCATAACTGCTGGGTTTTTATTAGATTTCCACAGTAACGCCTCGCAGACGTCGGCAGCGCAAAAAACAACACAGCAAACAACAACAAACGAGTTTTCTGGCTTCTTGTGTATGCGCGCACACATATAAGCTGGTCGTCATCAGATATGCGATTTCATTAGCATAATTTTATAGTCAAGACGACCATGCAATTGGAATGCACATATGTAAGCGCACACTCAACATACATACACACACACCTAAGCGTTGGTAGTCTTTTGTAGACGCCGCGCTGCATTTCTTGGTAAATCATATGGAATGCGCGTAAAGTAAAGAAGTGGAAAATGACAAAGCAAAAACGTAGAGCAAAAGTAAATGTCGTGTTCTTCACTTCGGGCGCCCAYTGCTTCCTTCTTCTGGTCGCTGTGTCGCCCCTAAATGTAATAGCAACTAAATGCAATGACTGTCATGATTTCGCTATGCGAGCTGCACTTTCGCTACTTTTATATTATTTATTGTGCAATTTGCYGCATAAAAAACTCACAACGGGTAATAAAGAAAACAAAAAGGATGAAGTTAGGCGAAACCCACACAAAAACAAACAGGAAGCACCAGCGAGGTAGCAAAATGACAGCGAATCAAGAAGAAATAAATAGAATATCAGAAGCAGCAAAGTATTGCACAAACACAGACACAGGCAAGCAGTGGAGATCACAGCAGCACAAGGAGCAGTAAAGCCTTTGTTTAGACAAGGAATTTGGGGTGTGTGAAATGTAGCAACTGTGGCAAGTCAACAAAGTGGCTGGAAGATCAAAGTGCCCAGAAAATGGCGAAGGCGCTGCCGCAATTGCTGGGGTGGTGACAAAACAAACACACACATACGCATATGTACATATATGTCTGGCAGTAGAAATCGAAAAAGGATGATGGTAAGCGGCGTGAGAAGCACACAAGTTAAGAATTGGAAATCAGACCGCAAATATACATATTGAACACAAATAAGGATGGGCTGAATACAACAGCAGACGAGTGTAATGTGGGGAGTATGAAATATTTTTAAATGTCTGTCAAATTTCAAGCGACTTCTGTGGCAGACAACCTCTTTAGGAGAGTAGACACAATATCCGGATTCGAAAATTGCTATGGTAAATGATAAAATGATGAAACATTCCCAAATGTGTTGAGGCTGATCGACTTCGCCGAAATATGATTATCTGTAGTGCTAGAKTCCAGCATTGCAAATTTCGCCAAGCTACCTGGCTGTTTCTGAATTGAAAAGCCACCAACCAGATCGAGCATTTTRTGATCGTTCCCCCGACAATCGGCTGTACGTAACCGGAACGGAACCGCATTTTTATCCGGTCCAAGACTGTCAACTCGGCGTAATTTTTCTGCTTCAACAACAACAACCATGTTGTGATATACGAAAGCCAGGTCTCCAGTGCTTTAGACGTGCGTAAGCTCCAAGGTTCTAACATCGACTCGGACGATTACCTTGTTGCAGCCAAGATACGTACCCGCGTCTGTGCAGCAAAAAAACGCACGTCAACAAACACAAGGAAGGTTCGACGTCAAGAAGCTGCAATCACAACAGACAGCCAAACGATTTCTAYTCGACTTGCAAAAGAACAGCTGGTACGATGAGGAGTGCCATATTGCAGTGAAGAGAAAACACACTGCTTACCTCGCAACGTTACAATCGACCACAACACGTTCGGGTTGGGATAGATACCGAGAGTTGAAAATGTACKCGAGACGCATTTGTAGACAAAACAAGAGAGAGTCCGAAATGCGTAAATACGAAAACCTTGGCAAGCTGCCGGACAGAGGTAATGCTCGAAAATTCTACAAAAGATGTGACAACAGAAAGTTTTAAAACCGGAGCATACTCTTGTAGRACCCCCAAAGGTGATCTAGTGACCCAGAGCATTCTAAAATTTTGGAGGGRACACTTCCCCAGAGTGAAAATGGCAGACGTTCCAGTGCCCGACCATGAAAAAGTTCGAATATCAATTACCCGTCTGAAGAACAACAGAATGGCGGGRCCGATGGATTGCCGGYCACGTATTTCAAAAGCGGCGATTGGAATTTAWGTGCGCTATGCCCAATCTAAAGAAAAGGAGGCTCCTCAATCTGCGCCAACTACCGTGGGATTAGCCTCCTTAACATCGCATATAAGGCCTATAACGGTTCTACGGAAGATTAACGATGAACTCTACGAGATATACGATGATACTGGCGCAGATCTGCGAATCAAGAAACAGCGACTGCGCTAGTAAGGTCATATTGTCCGGATTTGTAAAATCAGTCCTGCTCTGAGAGTATTCAATGCAGTACCTGCCGGTGGAAGCAGAAGCAGAAGAAGAGGAAGACCTCAACTCCGTAGAAGAGATCTGGTGCAGACGGACCTGTCTGCTCTTGGTATCTCGAATTGGCATCCATTTCCGAAAAGAAGAAACGACTGGGGCGCTGTTGTTAACTCAGCTATAACCGCGGTTTTTACGCCAGTAAGGAAGAAGAAGAAGACGAAGATAGAAGACTAAAGAACAAAAAAATACTATTTCATTATCACAACAAAGCGCTCATTTCATACCGGACGCCTCACAACAAAAACATTATACTAAAATCTTGGCATTCAAGAACGGCTTTAAAATCTATAAAATTTTGTCCAACATCAAAACTACATTCAATTAACTTTTGTTTTTAACTTTTATTATCAATTAAGTTTTTACTTCGGTTTTTATTGATTTATATGAATTAATTAATAATAGTTAATACCCTCTTCTTACATTTCAAAACGATATTTTCTCTGAGTTTTGAAAAGAATTTAAAAAAAGAGCAATAAACATATCCAATATATATAAAACACAAATTTAATTAGTAACTAGGCTTAATGTAACTATTATATTGAGAATATCTAGTAGCTATCAGGCTATCTATAGTATTATATGTTTGTGGTTTTCTGGTATGTACATACCGGTATGTATCCCTATTCGAATATGCATGCATTTATGTCATAGGTAAACGTAGTGGGGTTTGGGTGGGTGGGATTAACTGTTTTTGTGCATACACTAACAAAAAACTCCAACGAAATATTTTGTATTATCTGCCTCTCTTTCCATTTTTATAACTCGCTGCAGTTTATGTCTCGGGATAGCGGCAATAAGATGTGCTCTCTACCAATTCCCGCGRTATCCAGTCCTCATAAAGGGGCAATCGATTCTTCAGCGTCTCCACTTCACGCAAAATACGCACCACATTACCACCAATTAATTTYTTTATGGCTGCATTACCCCACACGCGATCGCGTGCCAGCTCAGCGAGTAGAAAAGCATAGCTTTTTGGCGCGCCACCAAGTCCAATGTGATCCACACCTGCCACTTTGCGTACATAATTGATGGCGTTGATAGCTTCGCGCACCGAGAATCGACGTTCATCACAACGTTCCAAGTTCAGCATWATAACGCCGCCATTGTCCGAGAGYAAACTAACGAAAAGAAGCATGAGCTCATGTTAATAATGGAAGCAAAAGAAGATWTGAAACTTACCTCAAAACGCGATCGGGTATGGAGGCAACGCTGGAGCTGTTGCAGAGCGAAATCGGTACAGCATTCAAAAGTAAAACGGGCGCTTTGGCGGTATGTAAAGCAGTTATCATGGCCGCYTCGGAAAGCTGTGAAATCTCGATAAGCATACCCAAACGGTTCATTTCGTAAAGCACTGTCTGCAAGGATGAAGTCCAAAAAAGTTAGAATCTTAACCATTTGAGCGACTACCCACCTTTCCGAACTCGTTAATCGAGTGSGTGGCATTTTCCTCAAATAGATAGTCGTGGCTGCGTATGCAAGCGGCGGCCCATGGTGTAGTGCATTCCAAACTAGTGATCGATACAAAGCGCGCACCTAACAGATACATCGAACGCAGCACCGCCAGACTAGCACCCAATGTATGGCCACCACCCAGACCCAACATAACAGCTACCTCGCCACGTATATGCGTCTGTTCCATTTCGTCGGCGGATAGCACGATATGCAATGCATCCGTATTGGCGGTGATGCGTCGCGCCTCRTCGATACCCTCCAASGCCAGCTGCACCGCATCCAAATACTGTGCACCGCAGGGMACTGAGATTGGCCAAAACACCGCACCGACATGATTGCGACGCACCTCATTCAACAGACCGCCACTGGAGCGATTCACAGTACCACGCATTGGTGGCTGCCAGGAAGAGCCTTCAATAAGTGGTGACTCGGTCAACAAACGGCGTATAAAAGCCAAACGCGCTTCCAGCAGTGAGGAAGAACGCAACTGTAGAGCCAATGGTATGCCGCCAGCCATTGCTATGCACACCAACATTATGCCGAGCACCACTATCAGGCGACGATTGCGCGAAGAGCGGCTTGGCTCACTGCCACTATCGCTGCACGCGCTCATTTTGTARGCGGCAGCGGYGATTGCRCCATTCTTTAGCTTCTCACCGCCGAGCTTTGTGATCTCAGGCGGTAGTTCAATATCCGCAATCTCTGTGAAAACAAAACACTGTTGCTTGCAATGTGGCTGATGTTCGTGTGGTGGCGCCTTCAAATCGTGCGGGTGTGGGAGTTGTACGGGCGGTGGTGGTGGTGGCGGTGCATTGCTTAATAAAGTATTGAGTGCGACYGCTTGATGCTGCTGATGGTGCTGATGATGTTGATGCTGATGCTGAGGGTACGGATGCTGCTGATGGTGATGTATGGCGGCAGCGCACACCTCGATATATTCGCGATTTGGCACTGGATTCATGCTGCTGCCATTAATTGGTTGATATAAGCAAAGCGTTTTGCTTTCCAAATGAGCTGCAAGCGGTTGCGCTTCGAAAAAGAACTCTCTCTTTTTTATTATGGATGTTTCGATTTTAGTTATCTAATTAAATTGAATTGATTATTTACCAACAAGTGAAATAAGTTCTTTAGCATATACACTGCTTGATGTGAGGAAAAAAGCTTTATCGATTTTTCATTTGACATTTGTCCTGCTCCTGCGCAATGCTACGAGTCACAGATTTGCAACAGGACGCACAAAGTTTTAGTCAGCTGATATTGTCTTAGCGATGTTTACCTACCTCAAAATAATAGCTGCAAACCTCTTTGRCACTGGCCAGGCTAAAAAATTTCTATGATTACTTGTAATGTCTTAAAATCTTAACAAAAAAAAAATACATTTCATTTGTAAGCAAATATTTTTGTTGCAATTTCAAAGATCTTTGAAAAGTTAAATAAAAGATTGAGTTTTTAACGACAAAAATTAATTGTTCCGTTCCAATTCCATTTCATGTAGCAATCCAAATTTGACAAAGTAAATTTCAAGCGTTATTGTGAATGAGGCATTGTCAAAGCAAAAACAATAGCGATCAGCTGTYGTAAACAAACTATTGCACGTGCATTATAAATATATCGTGAAGATTATACATTATTTTATTTAATGAATTAGCAAAATGCCAGAAATAGAGGGATACAAAGGTAACAAAAATTAAATTAATACAGAAAATTGAATTATCAACTAAACAACATTTTTAGTGGTACCTTTACGTCTCACTGCGGACCGTCCTCTGGAGCTCTGCCATCATATTTATATGCGGGAGCATTTTATACGTTTGGAGGATGCAGACAAACCTAAAGGCCGCACACTCTTTTTTCTAAACGTGCCACCATATGTGACAGAGCAAAGTTTGGGCACTTTTTTCCGCGCCAAAGTAGATGTTCCAAACACAGTCAGCTTTGCTGAACGCCCCGGTCGAAATGAAAGCGAAAAATGGCAACAAAATTGCGTACCGTTTAGCGCATCAACAACGCCATTTAAATTTAAAGTGGCTTATGTAGTTTTTCACAAAAATGTGGGTGTAAAACGAGCGTTACAATTGGATAGCATTGATTTGTTTAATAGTGATGGCAATTGTGTTTTGGATTCGGGTATGCAGCTATTACATAACCAATATGAGAAACGCATTTTGGATGAAGTGGAATTACAGGCTCGCATTGATAAGTATATAGAACTTTATGATAAGCGCGAAAAAGAGGCGATTGAAGCGGCGAAGAACTCCGAAGCAGATGCCGACGGTTGGGTGACTGTTGGCAAACAAGGACGTAACGCCGGTTTTGAACAGAAAGAATCGGTTGTTGGGCGTTTGGAAGAGAAAATAGTGCGAGGCAAGAAGAAGAAGGAATTAGAGAATTTCTACACTTTCCAGATACGTGAATCGAAAATGAAAAATATAATTGAATTGCGCAAAAAATTCGAAGAAGACAAGCAGAAAATCGAGGCACTAAAGAAGACGCGTCGATTTAGACCATTCTAGTTATATATGTACTAATAATTGAAGCTATATATTATACCTTATGTGTACATTTTTTATTTGTCAAAATATAATTTACATTAGTATAGCATAAACTTAATTCAATTTTTCCTGTTTGCTTTTATAACCATTGTCATAAGTGGATGTGGCGGAAGTGTTTCCAAGAGACACAATAACTGTGTTATATTTCCATACATGCACTTTACAGATATTGCTAACTGTACTGCTTGTGCTAATCGCTCTACGCTCTTCTGATATGCCGCATCTTTGGTGGGTTCGATCTTATCAGCAACCAAGCGTGCTACATACGTTTGCAGCGGACCCACATTTTGTGCCACATGTTGCGCGTTTAACGCTGTTGGCGGACCAGAGTTGTCTATTTGTAGCATAGTTTGTAAAAGCCACAAGTGTAAATTACTATATGAAGGACGATTAGAGAACATAGGTGACAAGACTGCCCAGCGTATAAGACCTGCTAAAGGTGTGACAACAGGCATTGCTATGGCACCACTCGGTAACGCTAAAGGCTGTTGGGATGCTAAGCATAAATCATGATTTTCACTTATCCATTCGGTGAAAACATCTAGTAAAGCATCCGGTGGTGGTGTTAGTACGCCATTCTGCTCTTTCATATATAAATCTGCCACAGTCGTCATAAGATTAGCTGCAAAATGTGGTGCGACCATTGGTAATTGTTTGAATTGCTCCGAAGTTTTTCGTGAAAATGTTATAAAATCACTAACCAAACTCTGTGCCACTTCCAGGCTTGGTGGATTCATGCAACCCACTTGTTGCATCCAAGTACCAGCAGATGATAGCAGTGGTGCTACAGAGCCCGATACAGCAGTGCTCACTAAGCGGCACATTATTTTGGAACGTTGCGRTGTAAGATTGCTACCAAAGAGAGATAGAAATACCACATTGCGTGTAGCGTCCGGTCCAGGTTGAGAGAAATATTCAATAAGAACTATTATCAATTGGAACTCTTGAAACGAATTCAATTGTGTGCCGGTAAAAGTTTGTCCCTTACGAATATCAACAGGATCTTTAGGACGTTCCATAAACACAAATTCGGAGATTAGTTGAATTGCAAAGTTYTGTTTGCTGCGACTTACAACTATACTCTCTAATAGTAAACGGGATATAAGTATTGTAAWTGTAAATAAAAACTTGCAATTTTACCTATTCGTGGAAGTGCCTCCTTTGCACAAGCAGGAAAATCCAACTTTCGTAAAGTCTGTTTAAAATCAGCCTGCGACATTTTTGTAAAAAATAAGCACGAATAAAACTCAATGAGATGTAAACAAACCGAAAATAACAAAGTAAAGAAGAAACCGGTGTGATGGACAAAACAAAATAATCGACCCTTTCACATAATACCTGAGAAACCGACTATCGATAAATCATACAGCAACTGCCAGAGAGCCGTACCCGTGATTTCTATTAAGGTCAACATCCCTAACCTCTCGATATACCCCTTATATCGAGAGGTAAGGGATGTTGACTCGATACTTATATTGTGTACATCAACGTTTTTACCTTTCATAATAAATATTTTAATAAATCTGATATCAATTAGAAACAATTTTGCTGAACTGAATGATGAAGAGAGTAAATTATCGATATTTTAGTAATTTTTCAATTGCGTGCATCGAAAAGAAAAGCAGTATCAATAATTGAATTCTTTTCTGAAATTTTATTGCTCACAATAATGCAAATCGAGTTAGAAACAGTTTTCTGTAAAATTATTATAATATGGCATCTAACACGTAAACGATTTTATAGACTTGCTGTTTGTAAGAAGTTAGATAAAGCTGAACATTCAGTATATATATGTATATAATGTTATAAATTATGTATTTGAATTTTACCTGCTTTAATTGCAATATAATTTTCCCAACATTTTTATCGTTTATTACCACTGTGCTTCGAAAATACCATAGCGTTCCAGTTCTGAAGCAACATTACAAATAAATCCGGCAGTTTTGCGRTAGAATATATTTATCTGTGCGAAAAAGTAATTTTTATTAAATTTAGCGATCGAATAAACTTAAAAATGACGAATACGGCCGGAGCTCAACATCGGCCGCTAGGATTTATCGGCCTGCATACAGAATTCACAGTAAATTTAATGAAACATATAAACATTTATTTTGTACTAACAAATAACAAATTCTCTTATTCCCTTAGAAAGCGCTAAACGCAGCGTTCCAGAAACAAGATGCACAAATTCTGCGCGCATCCTATGAGTCCTTCGGCGCCAATACCGATCATGATAAAAAGTCGCCAATGGATCAAGCCTTTCGTGAAATGCTACTCTTCCGACTAAGTGATAACGTGGAGCAGGTGGGCGCACTTGTACGTTTATCCGTTGAAGCAGTACGTGCAGAAATAGTTTCAGTAACCATACCCGTTGTGTTGTTGGGCGACATTTTCGATGCGGTGACGTTAGATAAATGTGAACAAATATTTAGTTTTGTCGAAGAAATGGTTGAGGTATGGAAGGAGGACATTTTTTTCTCATCGTGCAAAAATAACATCTTGCGAATGTGCAACGACCTTTTACGTCGTTTATCGCGAGCACAGAACACCGTATTCTGCGGACGCATTTTGCTGTTTCTATCCAAATTCTTTCCATTCTCTGAGCGTTCGGGATTGAACATAGTATCGGAATTCAATTTAGATAATGTTACCGAATATGGTGTTGACGGTAAAGATCTGGACGACTGTTTGGAAGATACCGTGGAAGATATTCCCATTAAAATCGATTACAATCTGTATTGTAAATTTTGGTCATTACAAGACTTTTTCCGCAATCCAAACCAATGCTATAGCAAAGCACAATGGAAAATGTTTCAAGCTGTAAGTAAATAAAATTTTCCTCTTCTGTTTAAATTGTTTAAAGTTTATATTTCTTCATTCAGCACGCTGGTACCGTACTGGAGGCTTTTGATAGTTTTAAGTTGGAGGAACCTCGCCTCAGTAGTGCAGCAGAAAAAAGTGAAAGTGCGCTTACAGCTGCCGATTACCTGGAAAATATGAAAATGGAGCTGGTTGCTGATATGACAGCTGAAGCAGATGATCAAAAATCGAGCCAAACAGACCACATAGTTCGCCAGTCCGATCACTTTTTCGCAAAGTTTCTGACAAATCCCAAGTTACTTACTTTACAATTGTCCGACTCTAATTTTCGTCGTTCGGTGCTGGTGCAGTTCCTGATACTTTTTCAATATCTGCAGCTAACCGTTAAGTTTAAGACGTAAGTGGAAAACGCGGTTTAAAAATTTAGTTGGAAATTAATTTTCACTGTGAATTTTTTTTCAGTGAATCGAACACACTTACCACTGCACAAACGGATTTTATTAAAGAGACCGAAGGAAAAGTATATAAATTACTCGAGGAGACCCCACCAAATGGCAAACGTTTTGCGCGCACGGTGCAACATATGTTGACGAGAGAAGAAATGTGGAACAACTGGAAGAATGATGGTTGTAAAGAGTTCCGCAAACCCGATGACACCGAACCGGAAAGTAGCACAAACAAAGATGCGGCAAGTGCCGATGCTAAACCTCCGGCTCCGAAACGTCCAAAACGCACGCTGGGTGACAGTTTGCGCGATGCGCATCGTAGTGGAAAATTTTTCTTGGGCAAGTGAGTATATCACATCGTAAAATAATAATGTAAAATCCATTTTTTTTTTTTTAATAATTATTTCTAGTGATGTGCTAACACGGCTTTGGAATTATTCGCCCGATAATCTGCAGGCCTGCAAGAGCGAAGAGCGCAATTTTCTGCCACAAGTTGAAACATTCCTGGAGAATCCGCACGAAAAGAACGATCCGTCATTTGAATGGCGAGCCTTACGTTTACTCGCGCGACAGTCGCCACACTTTTTCACATTCTTAAATTCACCATCATACAAAATAGCAGACTATCTGGAGGGCGTACGCCGCCGCTTAGCTAAAGATCGTATAGATAATGCCAAAGCATCTTTGAATGCAAACAGCACATCGTTAATGGGTGGCAATTCATCAACTGAATCTCCTAATGCAACCGAAAACAATAGTGATCAAGGGTCTAACAATCAAGAAACCGAGGGTGAACCAGATGCGGATGGCGTTGGCGAAGGCGAAAATGACGGAGACGGCGATGGGGACGGAGATGCCATGCTCACCGAAGAAGATGTACAAGGTGACTTGGACAAAGCCGATGATGATCGTAATGCGCACACCAAACCGATGACGGCAACCGCGGAACAAATAGAAGAAATCGCACCGCTCATTGGTGATGACTGGAAGAAGTTGGGAAAAAAATTGGGCTACACCACCGACGAACTACTCTACTTTGAGACTGAGCATCCCGATCGCGATGGTGGCTGCATTGCTATGCTAAGCAATTGGTTTGCAGATGACGATGATGCCAGTCTCGATAACTGGGCCTACATGCTTGAGGGTTTGGAAATAAATGCGGCGGCCAAAGCAGTAAAGGCGCTTATTGACCGTCTTACGGCCAAAGAGGATAAAGTGGAGTTACTATCAGATTAAGTGTGGAGCATTGAGGTTAACTTCAGAACTCGGGTTTTGATTTAGTTTATATTTTAATAATTTTCCAAAAGTCAAGTTTACAATAATAATTTATCACATGTACAGGGTGTGTATGCATACCGCTGTTTACATTAACATTAAGTCGTCATCTAAACTCTTGGCGGTCCACGCAGACAATTGGCCTCTAGTCTTCATAGCACCCGGAGGCAATTAATCAACTTTCCAGTCGACGTTGTTAGTTTATGAGATTAAATGTGCRTGTGTGTGGGGGTGTATTTGTCTCTACATAAAACTGTTTTTAATTATGATTGTTTTGGCGCACACCATCTATCTTTTTCTCGGCGCCTGACCCGGTTTGGGCTTATTGTGTAGCATTGTGGCGCAGCGCGGAATGTGTCGCTCTGCCGCAGATTCATTGAAACGACGCATGCAATGGGGACACTGTATGTAGTCAGGATTCTCCGAAGGTGGAGGTGGTGGCAAATCACTCAACTTGCCGCCGCGYGCCAAATGCGCCTGCACCTGCTTGGCTGCGCGTATGGCTTGAATGAATTCTTCGTGTTTCTTKCGCCAATTATTCTTCTTCAAACCAGCCGTCATGCCGCTAGCAGCAGCAGCACTGGARTATGCGGATTTGGTGCTACTTCGAGTTTGTGCTTTCTTGAGATACTTTTCGGCRTCAGTGCCACGTAAACGATGTCGCGCCGCATCGAAAATTTTGCGCTTAGTATGTGCCATTTTCTCGCATACAATCTCATGCTTGGCAATTCTCTCCGTATTGAAATGGCGATTACAGTAGCGGCAGACGCCCATATTTCCTGAGTCCACATCAGCGTTGGGCGGCATTCTGTTGGTCTGTAGAAGAGAAAAACAAATGCTCAGTTGGCAAATTGAAAGCATGAAGCCATTTATCTGCAAAGCTTACATTAGAAGCCATATTTCCCGATGTTCTTCGTGGCGGTGTCTAAAAGTCAGTCAAAAAAAGTATATTTATAACGGAGAATTTTTTGAAAATAATTAATGAAATACCGATAATTGTCATTTYAAAATTCAAAGCGGATGCATGAGCAGCTTCAAAAATACAAAAATAAATGTTGCCTACCTTCAATGAAACTACTGCAGTACGTTTGATAGTTTTGGTCGCAGAGCTGGTCTTAGGCGTTGGTGTAACACGTGTCGCAGCCGTCGGCGTAGTATTTGCTGGACGCTTAGCCACCTGTATCTGCGTCACTGGCGATGGTGTTTTCTTGGTCASAACGGGATTTAATTTTAGACTGTTTGACGATTTCGCGCGTCCCAATATATCGTTGTTGTTGTTGCGGTCATCGGGCGAGTGCAAGCCCAAACTAAGTGAAGACATTTCCTTTGTCAGCGAATCGGTATTGCCGTTCTGTAGTCGTTTCGGTGGATTTCGCACGTGCGTTGCACCAGTGGATGCATTGGTCGAAGCACGCATGCGAACCGACGTTGTATTGCCATTTTTCGTTTGGTGTAGATTGTGTACAGCGCCACCGGTTTGACGCATAACAGGCGACGTGCCTTTTGCCGTTGAGGTGATTGGCTTTAGTGGATTCGCGCGATCAATGCCAGCGCCGCGACGTCGTTCGTCGAACATTTGGCGCACCTGCGACGRACACAGTAAATAAGTGAGCAACRCCGGACAAATTTCATTTAAGATTCATTCATATYAGATCGTTATATTTRCTTACCTTGCCATTCGTGATGCGTTTGGTGTCTACAACCTCCTCCAAGTTGCTGGCGCCCTCACCATCAG